CGAATCATCAGTTGATGTATAGCTAAACTCACAAAAGCCGGAAGAACGACAGTTTCAAAAAAATATAACTAAATCATTTGGCTAAGTCCTGAAACACCTCACTCGCCCTGATTAAAATTGATTCAGGAAAGCCGGCGAGCTTTGCCACATGTATTCCGTACGATTCATCGGCGATTCCTTCAATTACTTCATGCAAAAATATAACCTTTCCATCCCACTCTTTTATTTTTACACAAAAACACTTTATACGATCTAAATAATTACTCACTTTAGTAAGCTCATGGTAATGAGTTGCAAAAATAGCTCGACACTTATTTACGTTGTGAATATGTTCTATTACTGCTTGAGCAATTGACAATCCATCATATACCCCTGTACCTCTACCAATTTCATCGAGAATCACTAAAGAACGGTCTGTGGCCTGATTTACTATTATTGCTGTTTCAATCATCTCTACCATAAAAGTAGAATAACCTGCTGCTATGTTATCTGTTGCACCAACTCTACTGAATATTTTGTCAATTACTCCAATATGTGCACTCTCTGCAGGTACAAATGATCCCATATGGGCTAGAATTGCAATCAAAGCATTCTGTCTTAAAAAGGTGCTTTTTCCAGCCATATTAGGTCCTGTAATTAAATGTATACCAGCCAAGTCAATACTATTTGGAATAAATTTATTATTTACTTCAATTACAGGATGCCTACCACCTAGGATATTAAATTCCTTGCTGTCATCAATAACTGGTCTCACATATTTATTTCTCACAGCAAGTTCTGCAAATGCAGTTCTGATATCAAGTTTTGCTAAGGCATTTGCAGCAAGGGCAATTTTTTCAGATTCTTCAGCAATTTTACTACATAGTGCACCAAAAATTTTAATTTCCAAATTAATTGCAGCATCACGTGCAGTAAGGATTTTATTTTCTAACTCTTTTAATTCGTTGGTAGTGTAACGAGAACTGTTTGCTAAGCCTTGTCTGTGAATAAAGATATCTGAAGTTATCTTATGATTCGATGAAACTTCGATGTAGTAGCCAAGTATATTGTTATGCAGTATTTTAAGCGTTGCAATGCCAGTAAGATCGCGATAGGAACTGCGTAGCTTAGTTATCAACTTATTACTGTTATTTAATATATAAGACAGCTCAGATAATTCTGCATTATAATTCGGATCAATAAATCCGCCTTCTTTTGCATTGCTGACGTTATTATCCAGAATAGCTTTGTTGAGAAATTCACACATGTCTTTGTGATCACCTAAGCTTTTGTATATGATTTCCAATTCGTTTTCGCTTG